TTCTTCCTCTGTTTAGTGTTTATTCGGTTCTGCCCATGTATTCCTGTGTTAAGTCCGCGTTTCTTAGTCTGTGTCCTTGCATGTGTAAGTTCCTGTTTTATTGTGAAAGTCTGTGTCTTATGTCAGTGTGTTCTGTTTCCCCTGCCTCGTCAGCTGTGATGTCTTCCAGGTGTGTTCCCCTCCTGTTTCCCATCCCCTGATTCCTGCCGTGTGTATTTATAGTGTGTGTTACCTCGTCTTCGTTGCTGGTTCGTCTGTGTTGTTTCCCCTCGGTCTCTCTGCGCCTCTCCGTATGTATTTCCCCGGGCCTCCCTGCGTCTTCGTTTCTGGTTTGTTTTGTTAGTTTTACCCAGTTTAGGTTTTCCAGTTTCATGTTCACCCACCATTGCTGTTTGTACCCACTCCTGTAAATAAATACTCACCTGCGCCAGAGCTGCCGCCTTTTGGGTCCTTTCTATAACTCCACACGTCTGCCACACCGGACGTGACAATTTTAATAGAGGGAGTTTTATTAAACATGGACATGTCTAGAATTGGGCCCTTTAAAATTGTAACAGTGTACTTAGAGAAAACCTGTCAGGTGATTATGTGTCGTGTTTTGATGAGCTAATAAAAAGCTCTCTTTTTTTCTCATTTTTTGTAAGCAGGCCTGCAAGATTGAATTAACAGCGTTGAAATTTTTTTCGGGACAGCAAATATAAGGTGACCTTCTCCAGATTACAACTGGCTGAGGAGAAGCCACATGTGGCAACCTGGGAGTTCATGTCTAAAAGGATTGCCGTGTGTCAATCCAGACCAAAAATGATAGACAGTTGTTTTTTTCTTTTGAGTGAATGTGTGTGAATTAGTGAATGTGGGTTAGCATGAATAAAAGGGGACAAACAATTGACTAGGTTGGGGAGAGAAAGGGGATGCTTTGCAGACTTAATCTTTTGGCTGCTGATTTTGGGTTGCTAATGTTTGCTTTGAGAAAATTCTGTTTTATTGACTGGGTTTGGATTATGGCAGTACATTATATTGTTGGGAAAATGCCAAATGCTAAAGGGGAGAAACTTTTTGATATAACTCATACCATTAACAAAATAGGCCACTGCAGAAGTTAGTTGAAGTTTATAGAGGAAAATAACTAAAACAAAAGTAATATTTATGAGTCACATAGGAGATTGCTAGACTTTTCATATAAAATGCAGTTATAGAATAACAAACACTTGACGAAATGACCAAGGGTTTTTCCTTTAAAGCAGGAGCAAAGTAGTGTTGTTTCTAGGCAGGTTTGAATGGAGCCAGTGGTGTAAAAGGTTTAACATGATGATTAGGCTGATTTTATTCCTAAATACAGGTTTGGAGGCCCGGAGCAAATATACCCTAGAGGAGAATTGCTGAGAGTTTTAGAGAAATGACGTGACTAAGCTTTTCCTGTGAAGTATTTTCAGTTTTAGTAGCTGGTTTTAGCTTATTTGACAAATGAGGTGTGTCAAGAAGGGGGGATTTGGTGTTTAATTTGAAATAAGGGGCTTTATGATCATGTTAGGACGTTCTGGGAGTTTGATTTAGCTATGATTAAAATTTATTCATAAGTAATTGCTTGTATGCTTAAGCTTAATTGATTAGAATGTTTGTTTTCTCTTTCATCTTTTAGTAGAATAAGCGGTTATGATTTTCTTATGATCTATTGTGAAAGAAACTGGCTGGGGCTAGTGTTGAGCAGGTTTAATATGCAGTACTTGCAAGTGGTTTATATGTGCTCTAGCTCCCCTCATATTTTGTCAGCATGGTGACCAATAAAACCGCGTCAGGTGAGCATGCTCCGATAACGTTGGGTAAACAGGTAGAAGGCAGCGCTGTTTGAGGGCAGAGAAAAGTTCTAAACAGCCAAGATCGCTGATGGCAAGGACACGCCACATCCAAGATCTGATCTGCCACATATACATCCACTTCTCCAGCGCTTCCATTTCAAAGGATTCCAGGGTGGATCACATCAATTCAGACTGACACCAGAGGCAGTGGGAGTCCTCCAAATCGCTGGCTAACGCAGGGGAGCATCAGCAGTAAGTCACAAATATTAAGAATTTTCTGTCGCTCATACACCAACAGCGAGTGGCTCTTTAAAACTTAGCAGGGACACCACTATAAACACAATACATAAATATTTCAGACACGAGAGACAGCGCCATCTTGGAAAGGCTACATCTGGCCCCCTTAAGTTCAATTACCAGTGAACATGGTAAGTAGTAAGTAAT